AGTCACAAAATCACTCAGAACCCCCTACTGAAGTCATTTATTGACAGGAAGTCTTGCCTCTTCCTAAAAGCAATTTCTTCTGGGTTAATTTGAGCAACCATAAAGAACAGATCAGCAGCACTACCTTTAAATAAAATCCTCCAAATTCTTCATCCCACCAGTGTCCTCCCCTCTGGGTTCACTAAGTCAATTTCATTAACCTTCTTTCTAGAATTCCTAACTTGTTAATGATCTTTCTTCTAGCATTTTTTTTTATTCCTCTTTCTTCTAGCATTTTTTTTTATTCCTATTTTAGGATCGCCGGATAAAACACAGCACATCCAGTTCAATTTGATTTTCAGATCAATAACAAATAATGTCTTAGCATAAGTCGGCCTTATACAAACATTCCATGGAGCATATTTATAATACTGAAAAATAACTGGTTAGTGAATTGGGATTCAAATATGGCTGAATGCCCTATATTTTTATTTGGTAAACTTGGCTCTTCCAAATCTGATAAAACCACACCCAATTCTCTAATTCAGCTGTCTCAAACTTGGACATGAGGTAGAATTACCTGGAAAACTGTTACAATATAGACTACTGGGTCCCCAGCCCAGAGTGCCAGGTTCAGTGGATCTGGCTTGGGGGATGTGCATTTCTCTCAGGTTGCCACATGATGCAGAGGCTGCTAAGCTAGGGACCACACACTGAGGACTGCTACTCAACTTTCCCGAATTAGGGAGGATATCTGGAAATGTAACTCCAAATCTATAAAAGTCTCAGCTAAACTGCATGAGGCCCCAGGAAGAGCATGAGAGTCTCAATAAGCACTCAAGTCCCAACCTCAATGCTACTAGGAATCAGAAAGTGCCTCAACATCAGAAGGCCCAGCGCTGTTCATATTGGATAATAAGCCCCAGACATAAAGGGTCTTTTTAAGGCTAAATGAATTATCATCCTGAGGCAAGCTTGTCAAAGGACCCATGAGTCATCCCTTTATTTTCATTTTCCCGAGAGAGCTTGTTTTTTGTCCTCAGGGAGCAGCATGAAGGGGGGCCCATTCCAATTCCCATTTGTAAAAATTAATCTCCCCTTAATGACTGTTCATGTTTTATGTTCTGACTTTCTCCAACTGGTGAGCTCTGGTGGGTCTCCCGGACCCATAAGTCTAACCAAACAATCGCCCTGTCTTCCAGGCACAATATTTAGTACAAGAGTTTGTGACAAATTGTTTGATGCCTGCAATTAACAGCTCAGTGTATTCCTTTCCTTTGCCCCATAACTTTGAAGTTTCTTTCCATTCTGATTCTGGGGTTGGCCTTGGGACTTGTTTTGGCCAAAAGAATAAAGCAGAAGGGGCATGTGCCAGTTCTAAAACTAGGTTTCTGAAGAGCTTTGCACATTTATGTTCCTTCTCTGGATGCCTTGCTCAGCTGCCATGAACAAGTCAATCCATCCTGACAGCACACGAGAGACCACAGGAACAGAGCTGAGTCATCTCAAGGGGGGTCATTAGTGATTGGCCAGCCCCCAGCTGACACTAGCTGATAATAAATTCATGAGAAAGTAAAAAATGCCCAGCTAGTTTATACATTTGTGACCAAAAACAAGTTTATTATTATGGAGGTCCTGGGCGGATGATTATGCAGCGTGACTACGGTTACAGGTAACTGATAAAGTGCCTAATGTTCTGGTCACGCGTGAGCTCAACTCTGATCCTGAAGACTTTGTCAAAAGTCCTCGCTGCTCTCTAGGGAAGGGGCTGTGCTCACTTTGGCATCTCTGGGTATGCCCTTGGCTTAAGTCTCCCATTGCCAATGGTTCTAGTCCTGGAATGTATCTGCTGACTCATGGCAGAAGTAGCCTAAATTAGACAATCATACTCAGTGTTGGTCAACACTAATCACAGTTCTTTCATTTCCTTTCTTCTATGCTTGGCCAATTTTGTCTCCATTCTGCTTTTGGCACACTGGTTTCTCTGATAGGCTTTTGGGCGTGGTACTGTTTTGCCATGAGATGAATAACAGTGACTGACAGACTGATTTGCCAATCCCTACTTTTCTGAGACATTCAAGGGAGGTGTATGAATGGGCAAGATAAATAGAGACAAGGGAAGAAAGGAATCAGTATTTACCCTGCCCATAAAATCATTACCAGTATCAAAGAAATCAGAGAAGCCTTCCCCTACGAAGTGAGCCATTCCTTGTTCCTCTGTGGTTATACACTAAAACTAATCCCACTGGAAACTTCTTTCTACTTATTTTTAATGTACTTCTCATTTTGCTAATATTTCAAAGAAAACTATGACTAAATATTTCTTCCACAGGTATCACCTTTCATTTCATAACCTTAAGAAAAGGAGGAAAAAGGAAGAAGAAATGCAAATAACTCAATGGACTAGATAAGATTTCTGTGACTCAAAGAAGTGAATTCTTTGCTAACACAGGAAATGCAGTAGCAGGTCTGATGTGTATGTAGCTGGGCCACTGGAGCAGAAGACCAAGTGTAACTTACATGCTAGGTCTTTGGGACTAAACTCATGTTTGTCTCCTCTCCTTCCATTTCTCCTTTTCCCTCTAGACTCTCTAGAGCTCCCCCAAGAAAAGTAAATGAATAACGAAGAGAATTCACTGATAACTAAAAAGAACAGAAAGTGTCAGCAGCAAACAAGATTAGAAGCTATAAAAAGAAGCAGGCCCAAAAATGCTAAGATAAAGGCAGGGAACCCTTTCAGTCCAGAATGTGGCAGGAGGGGCTTAAAGTCAGCATGGCTGGCAGCTAGCTGGCACAGAAGAGGGGGAAAAGAATCAAACTTAGACATAGCACAGATTTAAAATGGTTACATAAAAAAGCAAATGCTAAAAAACTAAGGCTATAAAGTTATTTACAATGAACTGGTGCTACATAGATAATGGAAGGGAAAACAGCAGACGGTGAAGAGGGATATAATATGGTTAGGGAAATTATGAGACATCCATTAAAATCCAGTTTGTGATGACTACATAACAGCATGGGAAAACTATCATGATACAAGAGGTGAAAAAAAGAACAGAGAAAATGCTTTAATATCTGCCAATGCAAAAGCAGTGGGAGTAAAAGAAAGTTGCAGAGGACAGTGGATTAAAGATTACCACCTTACATGGTGTGGGAGTAGAAAGAGACTTTCAAAGGAATAAAGCAGAGAGATTCAAGAATGCTTGCACAGGGCATTAACAGAAGAACTATACATAGTCATGTGATTAAAAAAAAAAAAAACAAGTAAAATAAAACAACCAAAGATGTCATATATATGAGTTAACTCCTTATTCAATAAATTAGTCAATAATTAATATCCAAAACTGATCAACTGAGTACTGAGGGATTTATTTTATAAAAAAGCAACCAGCAGGACATTTGAAAACATGTGTTTACAGTGATTGTCTCCAAGGAATTGGGTGGAGGTACAGGAAAGGACCCATTTCAGTCTGTCTTTCTCCACTATTTTTCTTTTGCAACACATGCATACATTACTTTCATTAAAAATAAATCTAACATGTTATACTTTCCCAACTGAATAAATATTCAACATCGATGACCCAGTTGGCAATCCACAGGCACTGGAGGATATTTTTTGAGATAAATCAGAAAGGCTTTCGAATATAATCTGATTGCTTTGAGCACCATCACTTATAGCATGGCAAGCTGCACTAAAAGCCTCAATAATGAGGACCTGCTGATCGCTTCCACTTTTCTTTTGCCCTGGAAAGTCAGGGAGACAGGTATTGTGGTATCAAAAGCGGTCAAGGCAGCACCCAGAAATGTGGTGTTGCCCAGCGACAGAGTCATCTGTAAAAAGGACTGGATGGTAAGGATGCAGCTGGGAATCCAAGATCACGCTGTTTCCTGTACTCCTACTCTGCCCCAAAGGACAACTGTGCCACATACAAACTAGGTGTCAAGTTCACTTCCTCCTCCAAGGTGCATACACAGCAGCCACAGTATCTACCTGGTGGACCCTCCAGCTGTTAGAACAGGACTAGTCCTATTTTTTGGAAACTTTTGTGGGCCAGGAGCTGTTTGCTTGTAGTGAAGTGACAGTAGAATGCTTTCACAGTTGAAGGTAAAAATAATGTATGCTGGTGCTACATTCAGAAGCTCCAAGTTCTTCCTACACGCTCAGCACCCCCACGCCTCCCGTCATCACCATTCTAATCCATCTGTTCTTGAGCTTCACCTAGACTCCTTCAGGAGGCCCCTTATTGCAGTGCAAGCTCACTGTTTCCTCTTTCCACAATCCCCAGCCCCTGCCTGAAGCCCTCCTACTTTCCTACCCTCCAACTAACCCAACTGTTTCAACATGCACACTTCCACATGCTATTCATCATGGCCCACAGCAGTGTGTCTGAAGAGTGTTGCAAGCAATATGAATGCCTCCATAAATTCTTATATAAATACTGAGAACAGAAAGAAGCCCATGGAAAATACCGCATACTGTAACTCCCATTGGGAGATTCATTATCTACATCAGAATACTTTGGGTTCTGGGAGTCCCATGGTAAAGAGAAGTGTCTGGCTTTGTTTAATTCAGTATTTCACTTTTCAATAAACTATTAAAACAACTAATTGAACAAACTTTGGCAATGCTCCTAGGTTTGTGTTCTCCAGAGCTGTGGTATGATGTGGAGCGTCTCAAACTTAAGTGTGCATGAGCCTGGAGGGTTTGTGAAAACTCAAACTACTAAATCTTTTTTTTTAATTAATTTATTTATTTATACAAACACAGGGTACAGTCAGAAGCATGGGAGGGTGAGAGAATTCACCAGAGCTAGAGCAAGGAGCAGAAGAGGCAGACTGACGAAACACAATGTTGAGGGGAGCAGCGAGCGCGGCAGGAGAGGTCTGTGCGCCATGTGGGACCCTCGCCGGGCGGCTGGGGATTGAACCAGCACTGCAGAGGCTGCGGGCAGCTTCGCAGCCCAGCGCTCAACTGCTGGGCCACCTGGGAGGCCCTAAATCTTTTTTTTTTTTTTTTTTTTTAGGGAAGAATGTAAACACAATCCCCCACTACCACAAATTATGCAGTCGAGTTTCCCACATTTGGGGAAATCACAGGGGTCAGCACACCTGGAGTGCAATGGATAAGCCTTGCCCTGGGAAAACCACCTTTGTGATCAGGGTATATTCTCTGCCAGGTTACGTATCAAACTACTAAATCTTATTCCAGAAATTGTAAGGCAGAAAATGGGGTGGGGTCTGAGATTCTGCATTTCTAACGAACTCCCAAGGTGATGATGCAAGTTCCCGAAGATAATAAGTTACAAGTTCTTACAGGAAAAAGTCCAAACTTCCCAAAAGTTCAAACATTCAGTCTCCTTACTTTAGTCATTATCATTCCTTTTGCCCATAATTTCCCTTTGATGTCTTATGCTGCAGTCCCTTTTTCTTGTATCCCTAGTTAACCTTTCCTACCTCCATTATCTTCTACTCAAACCCTTCTATCCTCAAGATCCAGAACAGATGTTTGGCAGTCTTTTCTTTATTTACATACCTTAGAACTTCCTACCCTGATTTGTAATTGCTTATTTGCATTACTTAACTTCTGGAGCCTACAAGCTGTAGGAAGGCATATTCTGTGTCTGACTTATGTTTGTAGATGACAATATCTGGCAGAATGCATTATAAATAGAAAGGGCTCAATGAGCATTTGATGAGTAAATGAATTCATGGTTAGCAATAGCAGCTGATCTGAATTAGGGGAGATCCTTATTAACTCTAAATTGCAAGGTAGCTATGCAAACCCATTCTGTTTAAGTGAATTCTGGTAAATTCAAATTCAGTTCAGTAAAAATGTAAGCATTTCTGAGAGCTAAAAATTAGGCTACCCAAATGGCTTCATAGGTTGTTTGCTGCAAAACATAATTGCATAGGGTGGTCAAGGTCAGGGTTAGAAATATGATCCCTAAGCAGATGGAGCTAATAAAGGTTATGAGGGCACAGTGGGGAAAAGCAGGGGAAAATAAAGCATGTAGTACAGAAAATATTGTGTTTTAAAGTTCTTTTGTTTTTTTTTTTTTTTTTTCAATCATACACTCTCAAGATGTATGCGAGAGTGGCCCATTATTTCGCATTCTATATTTTTGGTGGCACAGTAAATATATCATTGAGGAATGATTTGGGGCAGTTACTAGAATAAAAGCTGCCTGAGATGCATAAGACAATCGTAATAAGAACAATCCGTTTGCTGTTGGGAAATAAACCATTTCCATAGTTCTTTCCCCTGAAAGAAAGGATCTTGTTTTTTTGTTTCTTCTAGGCCAAGTTTTATCCAAAACCATATAACCTAAGTCTCTTTTAGAGGAACAGCACTCAGCCGTTGATCTCATCTGACATAGTTAGTTTCCATAGAAACTCTTGTAGAATGCTGCCGCTTGTCTGAACTAAGTGCTTCTCTCATCAATTCAAAATGAGTCCAGGAAAACCCTGCCTGGGAGTCTGACATCTCCCAGCCCTGCTCTGTTGCAGGACACAAGTGCACTTAAGTCTGCATCTGTTACCTTTATCAGAAGAGCTATCTCCATTACAGACACACAAATAAAAGATTAAACACTGTCTTGTCCAATTAGGTTTGGTCTAAATAGGTTGTTCCCTGCAGGACTCTCATTAAAAAAAAAAAAAATGTTACTGAGGTTCATAGTTGGAAAAAAAGTCAACAACACAAAAACAAAACCAAAAGGAAAAGCCTGGCTACTGAAAAAAAAACCTTGTGTCCTATCAGTTTATATCATTACATAATTACCAGCAGCCTTGAGGGTGATGTAGTTCTTTGAGCTGGAAGGCCTTTCTTCTATGCTCTGGGAGGGGGAGGGGAAGAACAGCAAAATTTCAGGACTTGGAAGGAAGCATCAACCTAAAAATGTTCTTAGTTATATCTAGCATAACTGCTCACCACAACCAGCTTTTCCTGTACAAATATCAAGACATTAAGAGACAAAATTAGATTGTAGCACCAGGAAGGCACAGGGCAGGATCTCTATGACCTGAGCAGATGGGTAAAGGAGAGAGTCCTGGAGCCCACGGTGGCTTTTGCAGGCTTTTATTGGGATTTACCAGGTACACGGCAGGCAGGCAGGGGTCCTGGGGGAGGTGGGAGGCTGGCAGGCCTCCCAGCCCCAGGCGAGTCTTTACTCTTTCTGGGCTCTCTTGCGTTCTCTAGTGGTCCCTGCTCTCTCTTCTTGTTTCTCCTGTTGTTCTGCTGTTCCTTTCGTTCTGCTCTTTTTGCTCTACTCTCTTTCACGCTCGGCTGGCATCCCCGTGACGCCACCCTTATGAGCCCAGTCTATCAGCCCAGGTGCACCCACCTATGCATGCCCACACCCCACTGCAGGTGCCTGCCATCAGGCATGCATTCAGGACCACAGGGTTCCATCATCAATCCTAATGGTGGGAGGGCAGAAAAGACTGATAACTTTATTTACCCTACAATGATATAAAAAATCAGGAGGGGAATACCCATAGGGAATGAATAGTGACTGGAAGGGGCAAAAGGGGGGCTCTGAGGTGCTGAGAATATCCTATTTCATTATCAGGTCACCTGGCACTCACTTTATTAAAATCCAATGATTTTTGCACTTTTCTACCTGTATGTTAGTTATATGTCAATAAAGAGATCTTATAAACAAATAACAGGCAAGCCAAAGCATCTAAGCACCAGAGATATTTGGCCTGGAACAGATAAAGGCAATCACAGCTTGCTAGGTTTCCTGCTTAACTAAACCGGAAAGGTAAGTTAATAATAAGATCCAGACCACTCATGAAAAATGCCAAAAACAGTGACTGTGGACTCTAAATTAAATTCTTTCTTCTTCAATAAGAGTTTGTCTATGAAGTATGTCTAGTCTGAGCTTTTCTTACTGATTGAATAATGTAAATCACTGATGTTTGTAGGAGGCATTTATGGGATTACCTGCTGTAGGGTCAGGACAGGACACCGGCAGGTTTTCTAATATCCAGCATGTCGGGTAAAGGAGGAGTCAGAGTCCTCAGTGGTTTTTGCAGGTCTTTTACTGGGATTTACCCGGTACACAGCAGGCAGGGGTGCTGGCAGTCCTCCCAGCCCCCAGCAAATCCTCACTTTATCTGGGCTCTCCGGTGATCTCTGCTTCTCTCTCGGCTTCTCTTTCGGCTTCTACTGGTGTCCCCGTGATGCCTCCCTTAAAAAGCACAGTCTCAGCCCAGGTGAATCCCATCTACCTATGCCCACACCCTACTCCAGGTGCCCGCCATCAGGCATGCATTCAGGACTGCAGGGTTCCGTCATCTATCCTGAGGGAGGCAGAAAAGCCTGACATTTTTCCTTACCCTACAGTCCACCCCCTCAGGGTTTTCTGCCATATAGTCTTCATATATACAATTTTCTTAGCAAACATAAACAATGCAGCCATGGCCCACAAAAGCAAATACATCACAATATAACAAAATACAACAGAACACAAATAAGTCCAGGCAGAGCCCCTACCTAGTGGCAAAAGACAATTATTGGTACCGGCAGATGAGCCACCAAATCTGCTGCTGAAGGCACTGCTCCTACGAGGGAGGGGAACCACTCACGGCATCTACTGTAACACACCAGGAGTCGTCAGGCTTCCTGGCCTTCTCTGGCTGTAGTCTCGGCTACAAGTCACACACCACATCCACCCCCAGGATGCACTCACTCTTGGACTGGCGATTCTATACTATTGGGGGTAATCGCCAACCCTCAGGTTTCTGTCTGCAGTTGCTCCAACATTCAGCTTTCATAGCCACCAATGCGACTCGCAGACCCCTGCACTCAGGCCAACCCACTGCACAAGCACATGGGTCGGGGATCCTTGGATACAAACTCTACATTTGGCTTGGGCTCCACCCCAAGCCACGTTCCCCACTCATCCCCCAAGGACGGGTTCCTCAGCTCCTCACCCTCACTCAAGAGTGAGCAGGGCATCACCCAAAGGTGATTTTAAGAGACTCACAGGTCTTCAGCATACTTAGGCTGCATAACAGCCGCTCAGGGCTTCTCAACTTAGATCAGTACCACTTTTGCCTTCTCAGTTGGCTTTTCTCTTTTGCCTGGCTGCTGGGCATACACAGGCTGCTTTTGGCCATCAAGGCCCACTGGCCACCCCCAGATTCTCAAAAAAGAAAACATAACCTGCCAAGGTCCTCCGCCTTCTGGCGGGATTGTCAGTCCAAGCCCATTAGTCCAAGTCTGTTAGCCTCTCCCTGCATCAGCACTGGCGAGCGCCGAATCATGATCCTCTCTTCCCCGATGATTCTTGCTGCCTCAGGGGTCGTTGGCTGGTCTTTTCGGGTGTCGTTGGCTGGTCCTCTCTGGCGTCTCCTCCTCCAGCTAAGGTCTCGTCCTGTAGCTCCCGGACGGTGTCCACCTTCTGTGCCACCATGGCGCCTCCAGCGTTGTCACAGGCAAAAACAGTCTGTTACAACTCCTTGGTCCCTCCAGGTCTTCGGAGGGCTCCATACCCGTCTGCATGGATCATCTTGCCGACTTACGCCAATTGTAGGGTCAGGACAGGACACGGGCGGGTTTTCTAATATCCAGCAGGCCAGGTAAAGGAGGAGTCAGAGCCCTCAGTGGTTTTTGCAGGATTTTATTGGGATTTACCCGGTACACAGCAGGAAAGGGTGCTGGGGGGCTGGGAGGCTGGCAGTCCTCCCAGCCCCCAGCAAATCCTCACTTTGTCTGGGCTCTCCAGTGATCTCTGTTTCTCTCTCGGCTTCTCTTTCGGCTTCTACCGGCATCCCCGTGATGCCACCCTTAAAAGCACAGTCTTAGCCCAGGTGAATCCCATCTACCTACGCCCACACCCTACTCCAGGTGCCCGCCATCAGGCATGCATTCAGGACCGCAAGGATCCATCATCTATCCTGACGGCAGGAGGGCAGAAAAGCCTGACATTTTTCCTTACCCTACACCTACCCAGCAACCTGCCTTTACATCTGGGAATTTTGCCAGCCAAGCTTGACTGGTCTTACAAAGTCCCTGATCAATATCTGGCCATTCATTGTCTTTCCAGGGATTTTTAAAAACACAATTTAGAATATAGTCTTATCATTTCAGATGCCTATGGCTATAATATGTATAGTTCATTGGTTGTTGGAAGTCATGGTTTCTACTAAATGGAGAACTCAGGTTTGTAGAAATAGC